ATACCAAACACAGGCAGTTTGGCTCGGTGGCTAAGATACCAAACACAGGCAGTTTGGCTCAGTGGCTAAGATACCAAACACAGGCAGTTTGGCTCAGTGGCTAAGATACCAAACACAGGCAGTTTGGCTCGGTGGTTGCATGCAGCGGTGGAAGGCAGCCGTGTTCATCATATACAGCTAACACGCACATAGCTGCTTGAACTGGATGTACAGGGTTCACAACACACACACACACACACACACGCACGCACGCACGCCTTCCCCTCCACTAGCAATGTGGGGGGTCGGCAAGCTATTTAATCCCTCTGCATTTCAATGTGCTTTTCTGCTGGTCTAATAGAGATTAACTGTGTTCAGATATCTAACATGCTTGGAATTCTGCCCACCATGTCATGGGTAGTACCCGTGGGGAATCTTACATACTAAATACACATTAATACCCTACCAACTCAGATAATATAGTTCCATATCACAAAGCCAGAAAGAAAGCATGGGCACTGGATAGTTCCAGAACATAGGACCACACTTGTAGTAACTCTAAAATGTCACGCCGAGTCATTTGTTGTTTTTATTAGAAAATGCTTGGCGTTTGCATGGATATTTCTTGTCTCCGCCCCCCGACCCCCAACAGTTTTATTGGCCTTTAATTCACATATCATTCAATCCAATTGTTCCATGCATGGATTTTTGTATGAAAATTTATTGCACAGATTTTTTCATGTTTATTGCATGAAACTCACCAACCAAACTATCCCTAATTAGATGTTTAAGTTCTGTTGTCCACCTTCCACCCCCAGGCACCTGGGACAGGCAGGTGGTATGTAGAGGGGGAGTTGTCCCTTCTTTAGGAATGACAGAAAGGGCTCCAATCCGAGAAGCAGATGCAATTCAGTGGATGAGGAGGAAATGGGTTTGGACTCCCAGAAGGGATGGGCTTCTGCACTCCAACTTTTATCCTCTGGGAGGAAGTAGGGGCTCTCCATAGCAACAGGCTCCTTCAAAGCCACCAGGTCGCCAGGGGCTTCTTCATGAGATTCTTTCTACTAGACCAGGACTTTTCTTCTGGAAAGACAGGGGCTCGCGTGGCATGGTCTTGAGGTCCTGTCCACTCCCTCAGTCTCTCGAAAGTCCAGGAGTTGAGACCTTACCCTCCAGAAATGCCGAGGAGGCTCCACAGCCCACCTACCAGCGCTTGGGAAGCTTGTCCTGAGGTGCACCTTTATTTTTTTTCCTACCTGTTTTAAGCCCTAGTGGTGTAGACTTTCCTGCTGTGCCCAAACTGAGTTCTGAGTGCTCCAAGTCCTTTTTAGGGATTGGCCATTATTATTATTAAGTCCATCTGGGTGGTATAGCCACAGTGGGGTGTCCAGCGCCATGAAAAGGGTGCTACAGCAAACTCAAAAGAATAAACTCACTGCCATTGAGTCTATGCCAACTCGTAGCGAGCCTATAGGACAGCCTATGTGATATGCCCCTTTGGGTTTCCAAGCCCATAAATCTTGGCAGAACACCTTCTCTTTCTCCCTCAGAGAGGCTGGTGGTTTCAAACCACTGACCATGCAGTTAGCAGCCCAACATATTACCCACCACACCACCAGGGCTCCTTCTGAAAGAGAGGGCCAGATTAGACCTCAAAGCCTCCTGGCCTAGCCCACCCTGTAGCCATAGAGAATACGGTGCCTTTCAAAGGACATTGACAGAGACCTAAATACAGGCATGTACATATGTAAATATATATATGACGATGGGGAAATAGATCTATGTACATATATTTATAGGTTTAGTATTAAGGTAGCAGATGGACATTGGGCCTCTACTCAAGTACTCCCTCAAC